TCCTAGACGGCCTTATATCCCATTGAAAGAATCAGTAGAACTCTTCATATAGACATTTTAGTTTGTTAGATGTTTGCGAATTCACGTCTTTGCAAGGGTGCGTTTTCTATGGCAAAAGTATGTTGCTTGATAAGAGAAAAAGATCCACTATCTTATCTGTCAGATATTTACATTATGTTTAAGCAGTTGGAAATGATAGACAAGTTTAGTTTTTTTTTTTGCATTCTTCTTCTCTTTGTAATTTCATAAATGTTTTCTTAAATGTAATTTTAAAAGCTTGACTAATATCCCACTTTATGCAAAAGAAAATAGCATTGATGGAATGTCTACAATGTTTCAGGCACACACACACACACACACACACACACACACACACACACACACCCCACCCCACCCCACCCCACCAGCATTGAGTTGATTCTGACCTGTAACAACCTTAGGGGCAAAGTAGAACTGCCTCTGTGGGTTTCCCAGACTGTATCTCTTTGACAGGGGTCAGAATTTCATCTTTGCCCCTGAGGAGCGATCAAAGGTTTCCACCTGCTGACCTGGGAGTTAGCAGTCCGCTATGTAACCATTATGCCACCAGGACTGTGTAGTGGTTATGTGGTGGGCGCGCGCGTGCGCACACGCACACCTGTATGTGTACATATACGTACATGTGTACATATATGTGTGCACATACATATATGCCCTGGGCACACATACACATGCACACATACATACACGGATGGACATTTTTTGTACTTTCTGTGAAAGTAAATTAGTTTTCAAATCAATAATTCATAAGCAGATGGTTCTGTTACATTATGTCCCAAAATGTGTTAGCCATCTCCCTACTTCCCCTGTTTCCATTCACCGGGTTTCCCTAGCTTCCTGTCGGCTTTTTAAATTTCCTAACAGTTTTATTGAGATATCATTCACATATCAGACAATTCAGTGGTTCAGTCATATTAAAAAGAGTTCTGCAACCATCACCACAATCAATTTTAAGACATTTCCGTCTTTCTTGTATTCACTGTTGTTGGCTCCCCATTTCCTCCTCAAAAAAACCCCAAATTCACTGCCTTGTGTCAGTGCTGACTCATCGATCCCATAGGACAGGGAAGCCCTGCCACAGTGAGTTTCTGAGACTATCTATCTGCCTCAGAGCAGCTGCTGGTTTTGAACTGCTGACCTGGCAGATCACAGCCCAACGTATAACCTTTACACTATACCCCTAGGTAATTATTAATCCAGTTAATCTCTCTTTAGTTTTACCTACCTATCTTGGATTTCATATACAGGAAAACATACTAAACCAAAATAAAAATACAGCAACAATGATAAAATACAACAGAAAAACTTATAAAAGAAAGCAGAAAACATTAGAAATTAGAACAAATACATTGTGGGTAACAAGGGAAATCAAAAGACAAGGTGTCACCTTTTAATCAGAGTACTTATGCAGTATCTCTCCCCCCCCCCCCCCCCCCCCCCCCCCCCCCCCCTCCCCAGTGCACTCCATTTGATACCAAGGCCATTCACAACCCTGCTCCACAGTCAGGGGATTCCCGGGAGGGTTAATCTACGGGAGGATTCTGCAAATGGATTTTGGACTTTCACTGTCATCCAGAGCCTTCTGCAAAATGGGGTGTTCAGAATTTAAGCTCTAATACTGGTGGTTTGGGGTCAATGTGGCCTTTCTGGTCTCGGGCAGTGAGTGTTCTAAAGATCGCATCCTCATGGTAACGTTGCTGTATAGGCCTGGTCTGTGGCTGAGAGATGGCCTCTGGAAATGCCTTGAGTTTGAAGTTACACAGAGTGTTTTCGGGCTGTAGACTCAAGGGTTCCTCCAGCCTCTTTCAGACCAATTCGTCTAGTCTTTTTTTTTTTATTTATTTGATTTTTGTTCTACGTTTTCTCCTTAAATGTTATTTATTTTGCTATTGTTGAGAATATACACAGCAGAACACACCAGTTCAGCTATTCCTATATGTGCCATTTAGGCCCCTGCGTGACATTCTGTGAGTCATTCCTCCCCTCCAGCTAATCTTTTCAGTGACTTGTCAGTTTGATCTCATCGAGATCTTAAAAGTGAATAAGGCTCAAGGCAGACTTAAAAAATTTTTTTTTACGTAAGTTAAACTATTGCTTGTTTTCAAGATGGATTTGGGGTATTTTTGGTTCCAGGTTTCAAGATTATCTCAGGAAAATCGTTTCCAGTAGTTGATCTAATGCTGATGCTTCCAGGAAGTCTGGAGCCTGATGACTTGAGATTCTGTCCTATCTCTTCACCTTTGGATTAGTAGTCTTCCATGAAATCTTTGATCAGAGTGTTTGGTAGCAGTAACTAGGCACCATGCAGTTCTGCAGGCCTTGTGACAAAGTGAGCAGCTGGTCCTGGAGGCAATTAGCCACATCTTCCATGTCCCCTCCTATTCCCCACTCTCCTACTTCCTTTGTTGCACCAGGTGAAGGAGTAGACACCAGTTGTCGCCCAGATGAGTACTTGCTGGCTTTTAAGATTCACTTGTCAAAGAGAGACTAGAAGAGGTAGAACGGAAGTACTGGCCGTATTATTAATCCAGTTAGCTGGGATGTCCCAGTTAAGTGAAATGAAACCATGTTCCTCAACCTCCAAACCACGGAATCCAATCCATGAGGTGTTTGGTTGGACACTGGCAGCCTCAGCAGCTAATCTTCGTTGTTGGAAATATAGCTACCAACAAACATCAAAAAAGTTGAGTGGACTTTTTACAGATGTTTGATTTATTGATAGTAATTACAGATAATCTTTCCCCCCACTCCTACCCTTGGTAACCACTCACAGATTGTGATCTTTTCTTGCCAATTTTTCAGTAAGTGAGGTGGTACAATATTTGCCCTGTGCGATGGCTTATTTTGCTCAGCCTGTCATCGTTTGGAGTTGCCTTAGTGATGTAGTGGTTACATGTTGAGCTGTGATCCAAAAGGTCAGCAGTTCAAAACCACCAGCCACTCATCAGGAGAAAGACTGAGTTTCTACTCCTGGAAACAGTTACAGTCCCGGAAACTCACAGGGGCAGTTCTACCCTGCCCTATAGGATCGCTATAAGTCTGCAGCAACTCCATGGCAGCGAGTTTGGTTTGGTCCTCAAGATCTACCCACACAGCACGGTAGCATGTTTCAAGAGTTTAGTATTCCTTGTATGTACATCGCACATTTTGTTATCCATTCATCTGTTGATGGGTATTGAGGTTGTTTCTATCTTGTGGCTATGCAAATAGTGCAGTAGTGAACCTTGATGCCTAAGTCTCTTAACTTAAATGAATTGCAGAGAGGGTGGGGTGTATACCTGGGAGTGAAACTGCTAGTTCCTGTGGCATAGTTGGGGGAGGTAAAGATGATGAGTTCATTTTTTTTGACATGTTGCATTTAGATCACTCTCAGAAATCTGTTGGAGAAAGATAAGACTTTTTACTTCCCCTGAAGAATTACCGTCAGGGAAACCAACAGGGGCAGTTCTACTCGATCCTATAGAGTCAGTCTGTAGGGTCATTATGAGCCAGCAGTGAGACAGGAAACCCAGGCTTTCCAGCAGATGAGAGAGATAAATTTCTCATTCAGTATGACTGCCTCACTAGTTTGTTTAACTGGTGCTATTTCAATAGCAAATATTTTCTATTTTTTTACAGGAAGTTGTGGTGTTTTAGGATTTATTACGTTTTTCCAACCGGGCTTGATAATTGAACCACCCTTTTACAACAATGTCAATGTTCTAATGGGAGGAAGCAGCATGGATCTCAAAGAATTGGTTTACATGGAAAATGTGTAAATTGAGGACAAGTGCATACTTATTTGAGATGTTTTACTTAATCTAGTGTTTTTATGTTGGTCCTGTAAAGATATAATTAAGATATTTACACAACAGAGTATGTAATCAGATCAGATTAATTAATTTGTGTGTGGTGGTTTGTGTGTGACATTTGCTTTAGTTTTGTATATAAATAGACTGCATTACTAGAAGGTTATACATTTTTTTATTCCTTTGCTTAAGCTAGGCTGATGGAAAACCAGCGACAATTTCTCCATGCCTTTCTCCCTGTAGCACGAGGTTTCTGTAAGGATAGGTACTTTAAAAACAAAACAAGAACATTTTATTGTGGATTGGGTGAAGGTTTTACAGAGCAAATCAGTTTCCCATTCAACAAGTCGTACTTACCTTGTAAATTCATTTCATTGATTGCATTGCTTACAGTGAACATCACTTATCCCCAGTTCTTCCTCCTTTCCTAACCCTTTGAACTTGGCCTGTGGGTAATTGATACCCCCTTGATCTGAAATGGTTGCATGCTTTAGAGTGTGGCTTCTCCCTAATACTATTTGTTTGCCGCAAACTGAGTCAGGGGTGTGAGTGTACTTCCAGACTTGAATAGTCACAGTCCTGGGACAAGCCTCTACCTGGCGAGGAAGACTGGCCTTTTTATGATTTTGAGCTTTGTCCTATGTTTTCTCCCAGACCATTCGGGACACTTTAATGTGCTCTTTCCCAGAGCAGTTGGTAGTGGTGCCCAAGCACCGTGGACTTCCTCTGTTCTCACAGTGGTGGAGGCCGATGTCCTCATGGTCCACTGGACCGATTGCTCCCATGCATTTTCAGCTCTCTTCACACTGCCCCTCCAGATTGGGAGAAGCCAATAAGTTGTCATTGACAAGCTTTGTTTTAAAGATCCCAGATGTGACCCACTAAAGTAGTATGTAGAACACCGACTCCGTGGTCACGTTACGTCTGTTTACCTGCTGTTTCCCGAGACCATGTCCTGAGTCCTCAGTTCCAGCGACTTATTCCTTCAAGGCGGTGTTTGGTGATGTCTAAGAAGTTTTCATAATTTCTCCCCTTAAAGATAAGCCAAAAGGTTTTTTCCCCCAGAATTGGTCATATCAGTGTAAACAATGTAGATACATACCAGTGTTAGAAAAGTGTGTGTGTGTGTATGTGTGTTTAACTTGGAAATAATCATTCTTATTCTTTATATAGATTGAATATCTGCTTAAGAAACTTACAGAAGCTATGGGAGGAGGTTGGCAGCAAGAACAATTTGAACATTATAAAATCAATTTTGATGACGGAAAAGATGGACTCTCTGTGTGGGAACTTATTGAACTTATTGGAAATGGACACTTCAGCAAAGGCATGGACCGGCAGTCCTTGTCCATGGCGATCAATGAAGTCTTCAATGAGCTCATATTGGATGTGTTGAAACAGGTAAGAGGCCTATAATTCCGTATGCTCTTTCATCTTTAGAATCTGACAAACTGGTGATAAAATTTTCATCACAAAGTGATTCTAAGTCATTAATGTAGATTTAGAGCAGAAATGAAGTTTCATCTTTTCCAATCTTGTATTAATAATGCTTTCAAGAATTACTGATGCGGTTGTAAAGTTCAGATAAGAATTTGGACGTCACTGTTTTGAAGAAAGCTGCCTTTCCAAACTTTATTTAGAGTACCTTCAGGTCATGTTTACATCCGTGCTAACTGATCTGGAAAGAGTCCAGGGTCTCGTTGCTCCGCGAACAAAGCAGGCTGCTGCAGAGCGGGCACTGTTGTCGTTATTGTAGAGTGTGATGCACGCCTGTAAAGCTGTCTGGAAGGGTGATCACTAGAATGGTAACTGGTTGCCTCTGCATGTGGGATTTTCTTTCTTTCTTTCTTTTTTGAGTTAGTGATGTATGTTTAACTATGTCCCCCCAAAATAAGCTTTTTAGACAGTTTATTGGCTGCTTGCTTCGGTAGCGTATGTACTGAAACGGGACGATACAGAGAGGGTTAGCATGGCTTTGCTCCTTCTCCGCCAGGAGGGGAGGCCGTCTCTGCACCTTTACCACGTGGAAACCATCAACAGACAGTTATTGAGGCTTCGTCTGCGTAGGTTTCTGGTACTAAAAAGTGGTTCACGACACAGACTCCGTCTTCAGAGGACTTACAGAAAACGTGGCTCTAGCTACATTTCATTATGGGCAGTTTTTGCTCACTGTCCAGTTACACAAGTAATGTGATTAGAATCCGACGTTGTAGTCAAATGAAACGTAGAAACTTATAGCCAAATTAATATTATGTAAATATCATGTCAAATCTTTACCACTGATCATCAGTACCTGTGGATTAGAGTGTTGAAACTTTCAGATATTGCCAAATAACCTGTATGGTTGATCATAACAGCATACCTTTGCTGAAGTAAAACTTGAAGGACGCATCTTCCAGGCTGCTATGTCGTGAGGAAGCAGGACAGTTGAGTGAGTGAAGAAGCCAATGTGTAGGGCTTTTCCTGCTCCTCTGGCACAGAATTTTCTAGAACATTGAGAGTTCAGGGGGGAAGGTGTGTTCACGCTAGAAGGTAAAACACCTCAAATCTCTGGCTGAGAAGGTAATACTGGACCAAGTTGGCACTTTTGTTTATTTTCATTGATCAAGGGTTTAATTTACTGAGAATTACTATTACTGTTTGGTATTGTTTTTTTTAAAAGTTTTAATTTGGAGAATTTTGAGCATATACAGTAGAGAGAAGAGATAATGAACTTCCATAGATTGATTTACCCAGCCTCCACAACCACTGGCAAGTACCTGGTTAATCCAGGCCAGTCTCAGGCCACTGTTTTAATTTCATCACAGTATTTTACTATATAATTCTAAAAGGTTAAGGCATTAAAAAAGTATTATTAACATCAGGGCTTCTGAAACTTTTGAGCTTTGGGGGTTGTGTCAGGCATAGTTGTCTAAAGAAACAGAACCAATGACACTCCTGTGTATAAGAAAGAACTTTATAGCAAAAAGGAATTTGACATCAAGAAGGCATCCAGCCCAGTCCAACCCAAGTCCATGGACCTGGTGCTAGGCAGAACCCTCTTCAGACTCATACAGCCACAGACCAATGACAGAAAGGTGAAGCAGGAAGCAGAGAGACCACAGGTCAGTGGGTGGGTGCAGAGGCTGTGGATCCAAGACTGGTGTGAGGATGGTAGGGAACTAAAAATTCCCAGGGTCTGCAGCTCCCACGGGGCCACCCCTGGAGGCAGACACAGAGTGGGAGCCGAGAGGAAAGCAAAGGGCAAGAGAGAGAGGTTCCCAGACCTCTTTCATAAAAAGGCCTCACCCTCCAGGAGACATCACCAGACCACCCCTGATTGACAGGTTGGACTACACCCTTCCTACCTCCCATAAAATCCATCCACCACAGGGGCCTTCCTCTGCAGTGTCTGGAAGTATATGTAAGCTTTTCTCTGTATGTCCTTGCATGAATTTTAACTTGAGCTTCATAGATTCTTGGAAGATCTGTAAGCCACAAAGGAGATATTCAGGATCATGTATCAAATCGTAGTATACAAAAAAACCAAACAAACCAAAAATCGATAAGTAACCCTTTAGAGCAGTGTAGAACTGCCCCTTTGGGGTCTCTAACTCTTCACAGGCCTAGGAAGCTCCCTCCTTTCCCTACCACACGCTGGTGGTCTTAGCCCATGGTAGCCATTATGCCACCAGGGCTCTGCGATCATGGCATAGGCCGGAGCCCTGGTGGCCTAGAGGTTACCACTGGGCTGCAGTCCTCATGATCGGTGCTCCCGTGGGAGAAGGACTGGGCTTTCTACTCCTATCAATAGTTACCGTCTGGGAAAACCAGGGGGGTTCCCTGTGAGTCAGCATCGACTCGATGGCAACGAGAAATTCTAAATGAATACTCTTAAAAATAAAGAATTGAACAAGCATTTATATCAGATTTAATCTTTTTACAGGGTTACATGATGAAAAAAGGCCATAAGCGGAAAAACTGGACCGAACGCTGGTTTGTGCTGAAGCCCCACATAATCTCTTACTATGTGAGCGAGGATCTGAAAGACAAGAAAGGGGAAATCCTCTTGGATGAAAATTGCTGTGTAGAGGTAACTGCTAACTCTCCTGGTGCTTCCTTCCCATGGCTTGCCCGGTGCTGCCCCCTGCTGGTGAGGGGGCTTCCCACTACCCTACCCGAGAGGTTCCAAACCCGTGGCTGTTGAGTGGCTTCTAACTCCGTGCGTGCGGGGGGAAGGACCGTGGACCTGCCCCCAGGGGTGTCTCCAGCTTGTCATCTGTACAGAAACTGATCGCCACGTCATTCTCCCATGGAAGGACTGGTAGTTTCGAACTGCTGACCTTTTGCCTAGTAGCCCACCACTTAACCACTTGCATAACATCTTTTTCTAGGCCTCAGAGGCTTTAAAATAATCTCCATGTTTATACTCCCCCCAATACTACAGGCATATAGAAACCACATTTCAGTACCGAAATTAACAAACACTGGCAATCCCTACCCCCACCCCCCATGTGACTTTATATCCCCTCCCAATATGACGAACAAAGTGTAGGAATTGAGTCTCATTTATTTGTATATTTTATGGCTCAGATATTAAGTAAAGGAGTCATAAAAAAGAAATGAATCTTGAAAACCTTATGAAGACAGTGTGTGAGACCATGATTGTACTAGACCATCTGGGACATTTTGAGTACAGTCATAAAGCAGAAGAAGATGTGAATGTTACCGTTGCCTGAACGTTAAATGACGTTCAGGATGCTTTCTTCAGAGCGACTCCGTTTCGTAAATGAATTCCTCCAGATCAACCAGTTTTGAGTTTTTACCTCATCGGTGTACTATTATCCCCCTTGCTTCCGTCTGAGAAAATGTGGAATACCTTGGCTCTCGGGTTGATGTATTTTGATGAATGAGATGGTGTAGACATGTTAATAATGACCGGCGTGTGCAGTCCCCACTCACCAGTCTCCACTCGTTCAACAAGACATGGAAACTCACAAGACTCCCCTAGGCTATGTCATTCTTCCCTGGAGGATGGAAGCAGGACCACAGCTTGCCAGCACCCACAGCCCAGGTGCAGGGACAAGAGAGCCAGGGCAGCCACAGGTGGGAGTCATCCTGGCTACAAGCCAGCTCCGTGCTGCTTGTAACAACTCCACAGGTGTCTCTTCCAGGTGCCCTGCAAGGGACATGCTGTTACAAAGTCCAAAGCCTGGCGCTCCCCTCAGATGTTTGGAGTTTGCGCAGTGCAGGTGTGCTATCGGACTCAGAAGTCCTAAGTAATATAGCCTAGGGTGCAGTTTGTAAGTCAGTAACATGCATTTATGGTGATAGTGAGTTCCTGCCAGATTTGCATAAATAATTACCTTCCAGCTTATTTATTTAATTTTTCTCAGGCCTCTTTTACTTTTTAAAGTTTCATTGACTTATAATTCAGCAGTGGTACCATTCAGTCATTCAATCATATTAAGAAGAGTTGCTCAATCATGACCACAGTCGATTTGAGAACATCTTCTTGGTTCGTATACTCACCATTATTCGCTCCTCATAAATTACTTAAATTACCAGTTTTGCTTTCTGTTTCAGTCCCTGCCTGACAAAGATGGAAAGAAATGCCTCTTTCTCATTAAATGTCTTGATAAGACCTTTGAAATCAGCGCCTCGGATAAGAAGAAGAAACAGGAGTGGATTCAAGGTAAGGTGATTCGTACGATTTCCCACGTTCAACCTGAGCGCACCGACATTGTGTATTCCCGCATCTCATTGAAGCGGCACTCTGCACACTGCTGCAGCTATTTCTGTGCGTCGCGTAGTACTTAAGAGAAACGCAGTGTAGGATGAGGCGACAAACTCGTATCAACGCCATTTTCATGACCTGGGTGGTAAATTCTGGAATGGAAATTTGAGGGTGTATTTACTGTTTAAAGAGCCTGGGGTGACCCCCTTTGAGGACTATGAAGACTTTTCAAGGGGTCATCTTGAGATTTCTGCTAGTAGGTAAAGCAGAAGAGGAATTGTGCAGTGAGTTTTGGAAATGTCATTTTTGAGATTCATTACTGCCACAAGCAGTCACTGCTTTCGAAGAATTATCTTAAGATCATATATTTTAAAATCACTAACGTGAAAAACCAAACTATTACATAATTTCAAAAGGATGAAACACTATACACACACACACACACACAATTGGTTTTACTTTTGTTTTTTCCATCATGAAAGGGGATTCTGAATACGATACTCCTGGACATGGAATATTATACTCTTGGAAATGGTGGTCATATTTTGTTGTGGCTTAAGAGTTTGAGGCACACACCTGTGGGTTCGACCCTCTTTCTCGGTCAGTTGGCTTATGAATTCTGGGTGTGCTTCGCTCTTCTGAAGGTGGTGATAAGGGTAGGTGCTCCCCCGCAGAGTGGATTGTCGTGAGTTCCCATGTCAAGTGTCTATGAAGCACAGATGTATAGTCACGGGTGTGGGAGCTGGAAGGACTTTCACAGATCATTTCCCTCTGGCGCACTGCACGCGGTCATGCAGAACATCCTCACCACCATCGGTGGCCAGCTCTGAACGCACCCCAGGCCTCCCCCTCCACCGGTGTGTTTCCCACTGCGCCACTCACAGGCTGGACTAACCTGTTCCTTATCCCCCTTCTCCTACACCATTGACAGCCATTCATTCTACCATTCATCTGTTGGAGCTGGGCAGCCCCCCACCACACAAAGAAGCCCGAGAGCGTCGGAAAGAACAGCGGAAGAAGCTGCTGGCTGAGCAGGAGGAGCTGGAGCGACAGATGAAGGAGCTGCAGGCAGCCAATGAGAACAAGCAGCAGGAGCTGGAGACTGTGAGGAAGGTGCGACTGGGCGCTGGGCCTGGGAGTGGGGATGGGTGGTGGGAGGCACATCAAGGGGGGAACTCTAGGCAGTGGGGAGCTGCTCTCCATTTCACTGCAGAAGCCCCAGCCCCTGCTGTGTGAACTTGGAGTCTACCAAGACTAGGTTAGTACGGTCTCGGGGTGTTTCTGCAGAGCTGAGCGGAGGCAGCCTGGCTCGACCAGCCCCGCACGTTCTAGCGCAGCAAAGGCATACGTCTGGAAAGGCGTACCGTGAGACGAATGAGCCCACGTGGATTTTGTCCAGAAGGCGGGGAAGTTCATTCCCTGGCTGGCTGTCAAGGCCAGTTTGGTGACCTGGGCAAAATGTCGTTGTTGCCACTTTTTAAGTCATTGTCATGAGTATACCTTGAAGACTGATGGTAAAATTGTGATTTTTTTTTTTTTTAGTCTTAAAAATGCAGCAGGGGGTGGTGGCCCAAATGCCACAGACGCTCCTGAACTGAGGCTTAGTCAGTGTTGCCAATTCATGTTTGTTTGTTTTTCTTTTAAATTTTCTATTTGCAATCTGGCTTTAGGAATATTTCCAGAGATGATTATTACTATTTTTTAAAATTCTCCGCTGGTTATGGCTGTTTCTCCAGAGAAAGTGTTTGCAGGGCTCCTCATGCCTCCCTTCCCGGAGTCGAGCTCTGATACAAATGTAAGGGGTGACAGACCAGACGACAAGATCGCACAGAGAAGGAGCCCGAGACACTGGAGGGGATGCAGAGAGTCTGCGGGGAAATCCCATTAGCTCCTCATTTCATTTTCCTCCCGGCGTTTTGAAGCCCCCTGGCACAGCTTCCGTGCTCCGAATGCATTCACAGGCGCCTTGAGCCCATAATCAAACACATTTGGTCCTTGGCAGAATGTGCCCAGCCGTCCCCGGGGTCACCCGTTTCCCTAATTTGCTTTGTACGCTGACGAGGGGCACTTGTTGAACTGGAACGTCAGTGGGCCTAAACGTTTCCTAATTCTGTTTTTCTGACTGAAGAATGGAGGGCTTCCCCGCATGTTCACGGCGACGGCTCTCTTCATGTGCCCTTCCACTGACCCTTTCCTGCTGGGCTCTGGGTGGGCTTTTGATTGGGTAGAAACTGGAAGAAGCAGCCTCCAGAGCAGCCGAGGAGGAAAAGAAACGTCTTCAGACTCAAGTGGAGCTGCAGGCCCGGTTCAGCACGGAGCTGGAGCGGGAGAAGCACGTGAGTGGCCCTCGGCGGGGTGCGGGTAGGAAGCTGCGGCAGCGGGGGCCAGGGGCAGCCCGGGCCAGTGTGCAGGGCTGTGAGGCCCGAGCACGGCTGTGTGGGAAGCTTGGCTCTGCCACTGACTTGCAGTAGGACAGCAGTTCTCAACCCTTTCACAGGGGTCGCCCGATGCATAACAGTAGCAAAATGACAGTGATGAAGCAGCAACAAAATAATATTCTGGTTGGGGGATCACCACCACATGAGGAGCTGTATGAAAGGGTCGCGGTGTTAGGAAGGCTGAGAGCCGCTGCAGTAGGAGATGAGGGGCTGCTGTGTGTTCCTTTGCTCATCTGTCATTTGTTGAGCACTCCCTGTATGCTTGATACTGAGCCAGTGATACACAGATGGAAGTACCATACACCTGGCTTCCAAAGGCCCCTACCTAGAAATGGATTGGAATGGGATGCTGCATGCTTTATGTCCTGGTCTGCCTGGGCCAGTCCCTGCCACCCTGCATAATTGTTCATACCATCCCTTTACATTCTCCGAAGAAGTAAGCACGTGTCCTTTGGCCTGCGTCCTGTGTAGTGAGCAAAGCGGGGATTCTGGAATTGTGAGATCCTCTGAATTCGGGATTGCTCCTCTGACTCCTCGGAGGGCATGTCCCTCAGGTTGCATGCTGACCTTCACACACTGGGTGACGCGCCCATTCCCTTCCCTTTAATGTGTGCGTGTAAGTACCCAGAGGAAGACACAGGTGATGTCAGAGAAAGTACTCTACCCACAGATGGAGAGGGGTGGATGTTTCCTCTCTGCACTTTCTCCCTGGACATTTAAATTAGGGGGATTATCATAGGACCTGCCGGGTTTTAGGAGGATGAAGTGAGCTACTGCAGTGAAACCTTCAATAGCAGACACGTTTGCAAGGATGCCCTTGTCTTTGAATGTAGGGCTTCAAAACCTTTTAACGCAGAGGGAAAGACCGTACCTGTGCGAAGGCCCTAGTTGACCTGCGGGAGGTCAGGGAGAGAGGGGACAGAGGCAGCCAGATGGGTGCAGGTAGTGGTTGCTGATGAATCTTGCCTTTTCCCTCTGCAGTAACACTGTGCCTGCTCTGGCTGGTTCACTGCGTTTAGCATAGACTGTTGGCAAAGAGGTTGCAGCCTTAGGACTGAAAAGAATTTCAAGATTAAACTACCCAGAGAAACATTTCTTTTTCTTGACTTGGTTTCTTGTGGGCGTATGTGTAAGAACTCTGGTGGCACAGTGGTTATGTGTGGGACTGCGATCTGATTTCACTCCCAAAGGTCAGCAGTTCAAAACCACCAGCCGCTCTGTGTGAGAAAAACTGGGCTTTCTATTCCTGTAAAGAGTTATACCTGTCAAGACAGGGGCAGTTCTGCCCCGTCCCATAGGGCCACCATAAGTCGGCATTGACTCAATGCCAGTGAGCATTGTTTGGTTGAAAGTTGAGCCACAACAGTGAGTTCAGATCCAGGTTCAAAGGATACCCAGAGGCCACACAGTTTCAGGAGCCCCACCAATCTCTGTTTCGTTTTTGTTTTTTTATGATTTTGAGGTTTGTTCCACACCTTCCTCCCATTCTATCCTGCACATCTGACTGTGATCCTTTTCAGAGCCTCGAATTGGGCTCCATCTAGTTCTTCTGGCCTCGGGGTGGGTGATCCATTAGTCCTTTGCACTTTTTGTTTCCGTGTCTGCGATTTTCTTCACTCGTCTGTGCTCTAGGTGGGGAGAGACCTGTAGCTGCACCTTCACTGGCCACTCACAAGCTTTCCAGACCCAGTTGCTACTCAACCTCAGCCTGTAGGATAGGATCGAACCGCCCCTGTGTAAATCTGTCCCTCTTTATGGGAGTGGACTACCTCATCTTTCCCCCGTCGAAAGGCTGGTGGTTCGTCAGTAAGCCAGTTCAGTAACTCTGTACATCACCCTGGGTGGCGGTTGAGAGAAAAGTGAACCTGCTTTTAAACATGACTTTCTTAAACCACCAGATCCGCCAGCAGATGGAAGAACAGGTTGCCCAGAAATCCTCGGAACTGGAACAGTATTTGCAGCGAGTACGGGAGCTAGAAGACATGTACCTACAGCTGCAGGAGGCTCTCGAGGACGAGCGACAGGCCCGGCAAGACGAAGAGACCGTGCGGAAGCTTCAGGCCAGGTGCCAGGCCAGCGTGTACTCAGTCTCTGTGTGCTGTGCTTGGGCCCTCACTGCTTCTAGGGGCCCTCTGTTCTGGATCACAGACCTCCAGGTGGAGGTCCAGGTTGGAGAGGCCAGGAGGCCTGGCTGACTGGGTTCTTGTCACTCTGGGGCACGGGAAGGCCCTGCTGTTTTAGAGCAGGCTGGCGGGGCGCCTTTCTAGTCGTTTTCTAGAATAATTCCAGGACCAGCTGTATGAGCGCCTGCTTTCTCAGACATGCCCCAGACCAGAGAGGGCCTGGCACTGCCCCAAGTTTGCAGCCTGGGGTCTGCTTTAGCCAGAGTTGTAGCCCTTTGGGGAGGATCAGAAAGAAATCAGCATTTTCCACCTAGTGTTTGAGAACTAAACTCTCTCCCCCCACCTGCCCAATGCTGCCCCTTTAAGGTTTAAAATCAGGTGGAGGATATATGACCGTCCTGTCTCAGGTGGGAACGGTCCATTTCGGGTTTCTGGAGCAGCAAGGAAGAAAAGGTGCAGTGGAGATCTCCAAAGGGGGTGTTTGAGCCATTCGCCCCCCTTTTCCTTCTTCCTCAAGCGTCTCACTCGCTGCCCCATTTGCATGCTTTAAGCTGCTTTGTCAGGAGTGTGAATTATATTGGAAGCCGTTTCTCCAATATGAGCCTGTTTATCCCCTGGCAGCCGCTGGTGATTGTGGTTGTACCGTAAGCTTCGAGCCGTGGCCTCTGCTTCTGGGAGCAGCAGTGAGACAGCTGGCGTCGTGGTGGTTTGAATGAGAATCACCCGTGGAGCTTTTAAAACAAGGAAATACAGGTATCAGGCTGGTACCAGGTTTAGTGAAGCAGATGATTGTGGGTAGGAGCGAGGCCTGAGGCTTGTTTGCTTTTTAATTGTGATAAGCATATGTACCAAAAACATGGTCAGCATTTTGCATATGTTAAATTCGGCAACGTTAATGTTTACCCTGTTGTTAAGCATCTCCCTTCACAGGATCTCGGTGTCCCCTGAAGTCTGAGTGGTTTTTTTTGTCGTTTTCTTGTCAAGTTTTGGTCAGCACCACCCCTCAACAAAAAAGAAGTCTCAATAAATTCGTACGGGGGCTTTGAGGGATGTAAACTGCTGGCGCGGCGGTTTTCATCTTTGAGTATCAATCTAACTGCTCGTGTGCTGCTGCACAGGGTCCAGCTGGCGGGGAAGCACAGCCCAGGGCTTGGCCTTTTCTTGGTGTGCAAAGGCCATTTTACGAATATGATTTTATGGAATTGTTTGTCCTCCCACTCCATTTCTGAGCTTGAAGTGGACAGCTCTGCCCCCTCTAGTGGGCATTTTTGTCTTTGTTGTCTTAGTGGTCCTCTTGAAGGTAGGCCAGCCCTTCCCTTTCCCATGTCACGGATGCCCAGACCTCCTCCTAATTCCCTCCATTAGGGCTTTCTCCTTTCTCCCGCGCCCTGGACAGGCCTTTCTGCAGAGAACAAGCCTGGGAGGGTGCAGCAGAAACATTTATATCTAGCCCTGGTGAAGTGAGGCATGACTAATCATAGACCAGGAGTGTACTGAGGGGGTTTTTAGTCAACCCTTCCTTTCCGAGCGGGACCCAGGGGTTAAGCACTAGGTGGTCATGGTCAGCAGTACAATCTGACAGCTGCTCTGAGGGAGAAAGATGTGGCAGTCTGCTTCTGGGAAGATGCTCAACCTTATAGGGCAGTTCTGCCCTGCCCTGCAGGGGTGGTGGGGGTTGAAATTGAATCAAGGTGACAGATCAAATTTGGGGGGTGGGGGGATTTGTTGGGGATGGTCTTAGAGTAGTGTGTTAGACTGGATTGTCTAGGGAAACCAACCAGTGACACTCATACTGTATAAGGTAGACCTTTATGTCAAGAAGTTATTGTATAGCCTAGCTAGTCCAACTCCTGTCCATGTGCCCCAGGCTGGCCGGAGCCCTCTAAAACCTCACCAGGTCGATGAAGCACACAGGTGAAGGGGAAGCTGGGAGATTACAGGCCAAGGAGCAGGGCAGGGCTGGCACTGCCCATGTCTGTGCTCCACATGCAGCTGCCCCTGGAGGCAGACACAGAGTCCAGCAAATAGGAAGTCGAAGGGCAGGAGAGAGAAACAGTCTCAGGGTCTCCCTTATTAAAAGGCCCTACCTGACCATGAGGCTTCACCAGACCATGCCTGGTTGGCAGGTTGCGGTCCACCCCTGCTCCACACAGGTACCATCAGGTTGGCATACAACCTAACCATCACTGGTAGAGAGGCAGTAAAAGGGAGCTGATGTCAAGGAATGCAGGAAGGAAAAGTATGTTTTGAAACCGATTGTGGTAGCAATTGTGCAATACTGCTTGATGTGATTGAACATTATGGAATAATATGGTATCTGTATGAACTCCCAGTAAAATGGCTTTTGAAAAACAAGACAATCTAACCACCACAAGTATCTCGCTGTATGATGGATAGGCCTTTCTCTGTCAGGATTTTAGGTTTTCTCAGAGATATGGTTCATAGTAACTTAAATTATTTAAACCTAAGAGCTTTGACTTGAACCATTTGAGTCTTATTATTCATTACTTAGGTGATATTTTTTGTGTTTGGGGTGAAGGCTTTCACAGTGGGTCAGGTTCTCACTCAGCATTTCTTACACAGGTGGTTTAGTGACTTAGGCAACGTTCTTTGTAATGTGTGAGCACTCTCAGTATTTCTGTTCAGGTTGCTCCGTGTCCATTAATCTAGTTTCCCTACCCCCTTACATTCTCATCTTGGCTGTAATTATTGACCGTTTGCTCTCACACAGGTGATTTATTTCTCATAGGAGCGCAGTAATGACAGGTGATCCTTTATTTCTGAGCCACTGGGTTACAGCTACAAGGTAACCTTGGGGGTTGCGTCTGGTTCAAGATCTGAAGAGCACCTCAGGAGCGTCATCTCAGGGAGTCCTCCCTCTCAGCACGTCCCGTAGAGCTGGGTTTTAGGTTCTGGAGGGAGTTGAGGTGCTCGGTGCACCGTTTTTCCTCCCGTTCTATCAAGGTCTGTCTCGTATGCCCCCAATTAGAACAGTCTGTAGTGGTAGAACCAGGCACACCTGGTTCTTCTGCCTTGAGGGTAGGTGGTCATAGTTTATGTAGACAACGGTTCTCAATCTGTAGGTCGTGACCCCTTTGGGGGTCGAACGACCCTTTCATAGAGGTCGCCTGATTCATAACAGTAGCACAATGACAGTGATGAAGTAGCAACGAAAATAATATTCTGGTTGGGGGTCACCGCCACATGAGGAGCTGTCTGAAAGGGTCGCGGCGTTAGGAAGGGTGAGAGCCGCTGGTGTAGACTGTCCTGTAGATTCGTTTCTCTGTTTCCTTCTCTGTCTTTTGCTCCCAATGAGTATAGACTGGGCCAACGAACTGCAGCTCGCAAGCCCTGTGCGGCTCTTCCAGGCTGTACGCGTGGCCCTGGAGTAAAATTGAGACATTTTATTATTATTATTATTATTCAGATAACGGTGATTCCATTTGTTTGTAACAATATACTTAATGGCTCTGGAATAATTTTTAAATGGCTGTGAGGGACAGGATCGGCTCTCCCGTCTCAAAAGTGTGCCAGCTCCTGGTATAGATCAATGGTTGTATCTTAGATGACGCTTGTGTAAGCTTTTCAGATCCCTGCCACGAACGAGTTCCCAAACTAGGAGGGCAGAATAATGGATCTACCTCTCTGTTAAAAAGGATTGGGGGTTATTTTCTGGCTGATGCTAACTCAGAGCGACCACATAGAACAAGGGAGTCGAACAGCCTCCGGCATTTCTGAAGTTCTAAATCTTTAAGGGAAGCAGAAGACCTCATCGTCCCTCCTTTTTGTAATTAAAAATGTGCTTGTTCAGCCCCGTCTTTGTCCCGAGGCGTTTCTGGTCGGTTTGAATTGCTGATTGTGTACTTGGCAGCCCACCTCCTGACGCCCGAAAGCACCAGGATTCCTGTGTGGTGTGGCAGTGTCAAAATCAACATCAAAGTGTGTACCAGCTGGCCAGAACAATGGGTTTTTGACGAAGAAGATGGGTTAAAATTTCAACAGAGCAAGAACGGGATTCAATAGAGGCCTTAATGGCAGTTTATTTGAAAAGATTCAGGGTTTTAATTCCCTGTGATGTTGTTGGCAGAAAGCTCATCCACTCTTAACCAAGCTTAATGAAGGTGAAGTGCGGCGCAAATGCGGTAATAGCCCCACTGCAATAACATGAGCTGAGGTTTATGCTGCACTTCCCATGTGGGAGGCGTGCTGCAAGTACTGTGCACGAATTACCACATCAGATACATCAGTAAATAAGCCTTTGATGGCAGATACTGTCTATGCCCCCCCTTTTTTTCTTTTAATATATGAAGAAGTTGAGGCACAGAAAAGTTAAAGCCTTTAGTCAGGGGCTCTTGTTTGCAAATTCCAGAAACAAAGAAACTCCAGTCAGCTAAAACAATCAAGGAACTGATTCGAAGGATCTGGAACTGCTCCCTAATGCCCTAGGCAACCAGGGAAGCTGAGCGGCTCACACCACAACCCACCCCGGCCGAGGCCATGGCGGAGTCCAGGGAGGATGCCACTCATGCCAACATTGGTTGGTATAAAGTACAGGAGTCACATTGGCCCCTCTCACTTGATATTGCTGCCACCCGCGAGGTAAATTCTCCGCGGTTGCTTGTTCTGTGTCGGTTGCTTCAGGGTCAGAGTTCTAGAAGGGCCTGCGATCAGATAAGCCCAGCTCATGCGTCCACTGTGCCCTGCCTTCTGAGGAGCAAGGGGTCTCCTGTGACTTTGGTCATGGCGGAGGCCCACCTCCCACGGGGGTGGGTGTGGGTGTGTTTCTGTGGCACAGGAAGGGGGTCCTGATGCTGCACAGCCGAAGCAGCTGCAAATAACCATCCCTGCTTCTTCACTGCCAGGATGGATAAACGGGATCATGGTTTTTGTCATCGATTTTTATGGCCATGGGACGTTACAGAAATAATGGACCCAAGGTTTGTGGTGAGGGTTTCGGGTGGTTCCATCAGTGACCGGGGCACCAGTGAGGCTTTGTGTGGTTAGTTTCAGACTCGTGGTGACCCCACGTGTGCAGTGAAGCCGCCCCCAGAAGATTTCTCAAGGCGGTGTCCTGGGAAGCAGATTGCCGGGCCTCTCTGAGACTCCTTTGGGTGGGTTGGGAACCTCGTAGAAGACGTTGAATAAGTGTGTTTTGGATGAAGCAACGCCGTTTGGGGCCGGCCCCACTTGCAGTGTTGTGTGCAGTCGTCGGTGCCACCCTCCAGGAGACCCTTGAGAGCTGGAGTGTGTCTCAAGCAAGAGTGAGTCTGGAAGCTGTGTCCCAACAGTAGAGCTGGGACGGGCCACTTGTCGGTGCTGCCAGCAGGCAGGGAAAGCTAAGGGGCTGTCACAGCACGGAGGGGGTGGGGGGGGCGCACACGAGGAACCAGGGCTGGTGGACAGGAGAGCTCGTGTTAGTGGAAGAACGAACTCTGTTTTCATATCTAGTACAAGGAGACAAAGACGCCCATTCAGACGAGGGAGACCATTAGCAGGAGCTTAGAATGGCGTCCAAGGGTTTTCTGAGATACACGGTCTTTAAAGGCGGTGGGAGGGCAAAGGAAACTGTCACAAAGACATGATTGGTGGCACATTAATGCATCACAGTTACAGGTGGGACTCTGGGATAGGAATGGGAACACGATTGGGTCACTTACATGATGTTCGACAGAAGAGCTTACAAGACTGGTCCAGGGCCCTCCGATCAAGACTATAGGGCAGTGGTTCTCAACCTTCCTAATGCCCTGACCCTATCGTACAGTTCCTCATGTTGTGGTGACCCCTGTTGTTACATTATTTTCGTTGCTACTTCATACCTGTCACTTTGCTACTGTTCAGAATTGGGCAACCCCTGTGAAAGGGTTGTGACCCCCAGGTTGAGAACCGCTGCTGTAGCGCATGCATGATTCATGACTCTTCAACCTCAGTCCTGTGATCTCCATCAAGGATACCCGGACAAAGCCCTCAGGGAAGACTGCCCCTCTCGGGGTTGGCTGGGGGAGGGGGGGAGGTAATCCACTCTCCAGGGCATTCTGCCAAGGGCAAGACTGTTCCCGTCTCTGGTGAATGGTCAGAAGGAATTCAGTGGAGGCTTATCCACGTGGGGTCTCTGCAAATGGATTTTGGCTTTCACTGTCATCCATAGCCTTCTGCAAACTGGGTGCTCAGAATTTAAGCTCTAATACAGCCTCCTCCACGGACCCTGGTTTTCCCATTGGTTCCTAGTCATGTGAGTATAAACTACCTGGCAGGTAATCGTCTAGTAAATGGTATCCGTTATTGTTCTACCTGTTGTTGGCTGCTCCCTTTTTCACATCGTCATGAGTTTAATGCACTTTCCCTCGCTGGGAAATGTCGCACTGTTACAGCAACAAGGCGAGGCATGTGTTCAGACTAGGGGGTGACCTGGCAGCTGACCTTTGCGCCTCACTTTCGTCACCTGTAAAACCTGAAACGAGCTAAAAGAATAATTTATAAATTATTAAGGGTTCATGAGAGAAGGGGAGGGGAAAATGAGCTGATTCCAGGAACCCAATCGGAAAGTGAATTTTGAAAATGACGAGGGCAACAAATGTGTGCGTCACACATTGCTGCATGTGTGGATTGTGATAAGAGTTGTATGAGCCCCAATAAAATGATTTAATTAAAAAAAAATGTGAAAGAGCAGCACCCAAGCTTATTCTGAGGATGAACTCAGGTGCTGGACTTGGCTCCGACCTCCGTGCCTGGCCCTCCTCAATCCCTCTGTAGCGTGAGCTCGTTTTCCTTTTCAAAGGAGGAGGAAACTGCAGTGCCCTGGCGCAAGACAGGCACCTTGCCCACCTTGTGACCGTGGGCCCCTGTGGCCTCCGTCACAGCCTCTCCCCACTGGCTCCGGTGTGGTGCTGCCCCGTTGTGACCCGAGCTCTTGGTCCACTCTTAGGCTGCTGGAGGAAGAGTCCGCCAAAAGGGCGGAACTGGAGAGGTGGCACGTGGAGCAGCGGCAGGCCATCCAAACGACGGAGGCCGAGAAGCAGGAGCTGGAGAACCAGCGCGTCTTGAAGGAACGGGCCCTGCAGGAGGCGATGGCCCAGCTGCACCAGCTCGAGCTGGAGCGGAAACAAGCGCTGGAGCAGTACGAGGTCAGTAGACTTGGCCGTGCGTGCGCACGCGTCTTCTCAGTTCCACACGGTTTTCGGTGGTGGAATTTCTGCTTTAGCTCAAAAGGAGCCCTGCCGGTGGTGGTGCGTAAGCGATGGTCTGTCTGCTGACCTCAAGGCTGGCAGAGGCCAGCTGCTCCCGGAAAAGGGGACAGCTGTGGAAACCCACAGGGGCAGCTCTTCTCTGGCCTACAGGGTTGCTGTGAGTCGGACTCCATTTGATGGCAGTGAGCTTTAGACAGGAGCTGGAGGGGGGACACTGCTAGGTAAGCATTTTGCTGCTGACCTCGAGTTTGGCAGTTTGAACCCACCAGCTGCTCCCTGGAAGGAAGACAAGCCTTGGAAAACGTCACAGGGCCGCGATGAGTCAGAATCGACTCTGAGGGTGGGAGTGGGTTTGAGGAGGAAGTAGGAGAAAGAGAGGAAGCCTTTCCAGGGGATGGGGTCTATGTAAAGAGTCTAACCAGAAACCATATAGTTATTTGGAAAGCTTAGCATAAGAATGTTTCACTTGAGCTGAAAGGCAGAGGAAGCTCGGGGAATTCAGGAATGGCCAAGGTGAGAAGCAGCCACCCCTGGAGGATGGAGGCAGGCACCCAGGGAAGGGGCAGATCCCCCTGTGCTGAGGGCCCGGCCTCGGCTCCGTGGGTGGCAGCAACACTTGTAGTGACGCAAGCTCCCGGGGAGTCGGCTCACGGAGCTGCCGCTGCTACGCAGCAGAGGCAGGCACCATGGGTGCTCCATGCACTCCAGCGGCAGACCAGGAAGAGCTCACTGGGACCTGCATGAAAAGCCTCACCTGCTTCTAGTGTCCCCTCCGCACCCTCTGCTGCCAGTGGCTAATGGGGCCAACCGCGAGGGAAGGCTGTGCCCGGCTCACAAGCCAGGGAGTGAGGGGTGGGTTTGGATGTGAGAGACAGTGACCTGGTAGCAGGCACACAGGGATCTTACACATTCATTTGCAGCCAGTGTGGATCAAGTGTCAGGAGCACAGGCCTTTCAATCAGGTAGCCTGCATTCAAATCCTGGCTTGGCTGCTTCCCCCTGTGGGACGCTGGGCAGGCTCCTACCCTCATCCATCAACTCGGGGAATAATACCTCCTACGTCTCCGAGAGGCTGGGAGGACTTGAGGAGATGAATCACGAGCGTCCATGCAGTGCCCGGCCATTGCTACCTGGTCCTCACACCCCTGTGTGTCCGTCCACACAGCCCGAGTCTGCTCTGTTCCAGGGAGTCAAAAAGAAGCTGGAGATGGCGACCAGTAAGACCAAGAGCTGGAAGGACAAAGTGGCCCAACATGAGGGATTGATTCGACTGATAGAACCTGGTCAGACTCTTTGAAACAACATATGTATGCTTTTCAGGGTGGGGTGGGGTGGGGTGTTTGTGTGTAGCCCATATGTCCAGAAATCGAGCTGTTCAGGGTAAATTTCTCTCGACTAACTGGGCTTCTAGTTGGTAAGAGGACCCAGTGAATCTCCATTGTGTACCTCTTCAAGCTGTTTGGGCAAAGATCCCTGCTGTCGTGGTGGACTGAAGAGCAGGCTTTCTACTCCCATAAAGAGTTACCGTCCCAGAAACCCATAGGAGCAGTTAAACCCTGTCCTAGAGGCTCACCCTGCATCAGAATCCACCGATGGCAGGGAGGGAGGGAGTTGTTTTGGCTGGTGTAGCATGCCATTCATACACCTCGGATGAGATTTCTTAGAGGAGAAATAAAGTAGAAGAGAGACTATTTTTGTTGGGACATGAGCGTGTACATTGAAAGATGGCGCCGTTTCGAGCATTCACAGCATGTTTGTCTCTTAGGCTCCAAAAACCCTCACCTGATCACTAACTGGGGCCCTGCAGCGTTCACCGAGGCCGAGCTGGAGGAGAGGGAGAAGACCTGGAAAGGAAAGAAGCTGGCTGAGTAAGAAGTGGTGGAGCGGCCGAGAGCTGGGTGCTAAACGCCAGCAGCACCGGCTCCCCGCCCCGCCTGTTCTTCCTTCGGGGCCTCCAACTGTGTGAGGACGCCCAGGGAGCCTTCTCATTTATCTCCGCTTAGGAACGTGTCTTAAGGTTTCTGGCTGCTTAATAAACACATGTCATTTTTATTTAATGATCTCTTTGAAGCGCCTTTGTAAGAAGAAATTCGGTTCTTACCGGGACTAGCTCTCTGTATCTGTGTGCCTTCGAAATTTCCCAGCTCCTCGGAACGTTAGCCACTTGGCCATAATGTCCTTGTCCTCGGAAGCTGGCAGGTGCGGTAGGCCAATGAAACCTGGGTGGGAAACAGTCCCTCCCACGGTTTGATTCTGTATCACTCCAGGTCCACTCCAGCAGGAAGGAGGGAAGGACACGTCACAGAGAAGCTGATGACCCCGCTGGGGTCTTAGGGGTGGGGAGATGGGCAAGCCCGTGCCTGGGGGCAGAGTGATAGTGGGATGTGCATGTGCTTATACTTGGGGGAAGTGGCACGGTGGGCCATATGCCTTGTGGGGTCCTTCCTTAGCCTGACGTGTTCCTCAGCTACACCTGAAGGCATGAAGGGAGCTTAGCTGTGCCACGCAGCCCCTCTGCCCAGGCCGGCGCTGTGGGCCTGCTCTCCAGCTCCGTGTGAACCCCGAGCAGTGTGCACGGTGCATGTGCGTGGGGGTGAAGGAGAGTCCCTGAACTGCAGAGCGCTTCTGATTCGCATCCTGCCTTTAATGGCACAGATGCAGGCATGCAGTCATTCTTTTAAGCAGCGCTTTGGCTAGGACGGAAGAAAGACACAACTTTCTACTCCCATGAAGAGTGAACAGTCTTGGAAACCCGCAGGCGTAGTTCTGCCCTGTCCTATGAGTCAGAATCGACGTGGTGGCAGCGAGTTTGCTTTTTTGTTTACGATAGACAATGCCAACCCCAAAGTCCCATGTGGAATGGTCTTTTGATAGGGAATCATCAGTGATTGGAATAGTTCCAACAGGTACCAGCTGTGCACCTGCTGGCCACGCCCTTGCTTTTCCTTTTGTACAAAGCCCGTAGGGAGACTCTCAGGTGTGGGAACGCCCTCCTCAAGCCTTTTCCTTTATAAGTAGGGGTGTGGCCATTGGTAGGAATTACAGCGTGGAGTGGGAATGATGTATTTATAATCTCCAAACATTCTTCTTATCTAAATATTGTACAATGTAATGTGCTGAGCTTTCTTTATAGTTAGCCAATTTTTCTAAGCCATATTAAAAATGTTTTATATGTTTGGGTGTTTGGGGTTTCTTTTAGTAAAATGGACCCAGTAAGAAAATGAAAAACAAAGAAACAAAAGATCAAAACAATGTACCTTTCAACTGTCTGGCTTAATAAAATACTGGGTAAAGCTGTCTGTGTTTATGTATATTTGCATGTAAGGAAATGGACTTTGGGCTGGGGGCACTTGCCGAGAAGGCCAAGTTCGGAGTCTGGACGTCCCCAGACCAACGCTGTCCAGACGTAAGCACTGGCCTGTGTTTGGTACTTGAGTCGCGGATGTGGGGAGACCTGGCTGGTGTGTCAGCTCCCAGGCGGAACTTACAGAGGCATTTTTCTGCCCGACTGTTGCTGCCGCCGCCCAATCCTCTGAACTGCTTTCCCGAATCCTCTGATTATGCCCGTCTGTCCCTCCCGCCAGAGTCAGCAGTGTGGGTTTTTGTTTTGGTTTTATTTCAAGATTTCCAGGATCAGGATGCCTCTTGTGGGCTAAGCAGGCCCACCAAGCCCCACAGAGGGTGCCCGGAAAAGCTGACCTCTTGCCTTCAGAGGGGTGCCAGCAAGCGGGGGTGCTGTTAAACAACTGTGACTCTCACCTGGGGGCAATTTTGCTGCCCCCAAAGAACAGTGAGCAAAATGTGCGGGTACATCTTTGGTGGCTCCCACTGCAGGAGGGGTTGTTGTTCGCGTCTAGTAGCGACTGTCAGACACAGGACAGCCCCCATCACAGAGGATGATCTGGCCCCAAACGTCAGTGGTGCTGAGGTCGCGAAAACCCGCCCAACGGAATGGCAAGTTCGGGGGTCCCGAACAAGGGCAAACTTGTGAGACAGAAGGGCCTATTCTGTCCCTCACAGTAGTTGAAAAGTTATTCGAGAGCCATAAATAATAGTTTTACAAATATGGAAAATTCAAATTAATATTATAAATGAGACTGATGGTTTTATTTTCATTTTCAGTTGTACGCCAGAGCCCCATGTACAGACTGAAAGGGGGAACTGATTACAAGGATCTACATATAACCTCCTCCGTGGGGGTCGGACAACAGAAAAGTGGGTGAAGGGAAACGTCAGACACTGTAAGATAAGACAAAATAATTTATAAATTACCAAGGGTTCATGAGGGAGGGCGAAAGGGGGAGGCAGAGGGGGGGAAGAGCTGATGCCAGGGGCCTATGTGGAGAGCAAATGTTTTGAGAATGATGAGGGTAACGAATGTACAAATGTGCTTTATACAATTGATGTATGTATGCATTGTGATAAGAGTTGTATGAGCCCCCAATAAAATGATTAAAAAAGAAATTAAAAAACATTTACCCCCAAAAAGAAAAAGAGCTGCACACGGCGCACACGCTGCAGGTTGCTGCCCCTGGTCCAGCACATGGCCGTCTCAGCACCAGGCTTTCCCTTGAAGGAGTGGTTGGACCCCTTGGGTGTGCGTGGTGGACGGCTAGGAGCGAGACTGCGCTATGGGCGCTGCCGGAGGCAGAGGGCAGGAGGCTTGGTAGGTTCAGTGCAGGGTAGACCAGCTCTGTAGAATTTGAAGTCTGCTGCAGGTGGTTGCAGCAGGAAGTGTTAAAAGGTGCTTGCCCTTGATGAGTTACCCTGAGTGGCTTCACACCACCTCTGTCACGAACAGTGCAGGAAAACAGGACCCGTCACCCGCTTGTAACATGTGGGTCTAGTGAGACGGGAACCGTGGCGATGGGAAGGCCACGACTGGGAGGCTCAAAGGCTTAGCGAGCCCTCTGGAGAGCCAGGACTGTGGAGAAGGACACGTTCAGAGCTGCATGGTCAGCTGCCATCTTGGAACTTGTGGGGTTAAGGGGGAGAGGGGACCCCACAAATCATCACAGGTCTGGTAGGTGCAATTGTACAGCGATAATAAGTGAAGATTATAGTAAAGTCATAGAGAGCATGAGAGTTAAAAGATAAGAGTCAAGTAATGGAGTCAGACTCAATTCATGGTAGCATTGCTCACCTCAGCCCCGCTTGGTGGTCCACGTGGAGGGAGAGAGAGAAACTTTAATTCTTCCCAAGCTTTTATCCTCTCTGGGGATGTGCAAGCCCCCTAATTATAGGTGAAGACATACGTCACAGGAAAGGGTTGTACAATAGGCGTACACATTGTAGGAAGGGGATCTATGATAGGCGTAAGCGTGACAGGAAGGGGATGAGCTAGGGGAGTGCCTGTAGCAATGGGAAGGTCTAGGGTTATACATGTGACAAGATGGGCGGACCATAGATTCATGATGGCAATAGATTCAGGATGACCATAGATTCACTTGGTAATCCTTGGGCGGGCTTGACCTCTCTGGTGTCTCGTACAAGGAAACAGACAACTACTGTCGGTATCAGAAGGAAGTGGGCCCTAGTTGTTGTGGGATAAACAGTAGTGTCTGCTTGGTCCAGATGTCTGATAGCTCTTAGGGAGAATAACCCCTAATGTACTCCTGATGACCTCCAAGTGTATAGTCATTCTCAAACAGCTAAGTCTGGCATATATTTGGGGGAGACAGTTTGAGAGAAATCCCTCTATTTCCCACAGGAACTGGGTATTTTTTTGCAGTGAAAGGGTAGAATTTAATCATTATTTACAAGACACTGTGAGAGATGAAGTTCCATACAAAAGGAAGAAGGCCAGTGATAGGCGACAGACTTCATACAGTATGTAGCATTTGGGGTCATTCAAGTATCGTTTTGTTGTGAAAAGTGCTACGTTAACCAATCACATGTATGAAGAATTCTTTAAAAAAAAAATTTATTGGGGGCTCATACACCTCTTATCCCAATCCACCCATCCATCCATTGTGTCAGGCACGTTTGTACATTTGTTGCCATCATCATTCTCAAAACATTTTTTTTTCTACTTGAACCCTTGGTATCAGCTCTTTATTCCCCTCTCCCCCCCTCCATCTCTCATGAACCTTTGATAATTTGTCAATTTTTTTTCATATCTTATACTGACCATTGTCTCCCATCACCCACTTTTCTGTAGTCTGTCCCCTTGGGAGGGGGTTATATGTAGATCATTGTGATCGGTTCCCTCTTTCTCCCTGGATCTTCCCCTTCCATCTTGGTATCGCTACTCTCATGATTGATCCTGAGGGGTTTATCTGTCCTGGATTCCCTGTGTTTCCAGTTGTTATCTGTACCATCTACATGCTCTGGTCTAGCCGGATTTGTAAGGTAGAATTGGGATCATGATAGTGGGGCAGGGGGGTGGGAAAGCATTAAAGAACTAGAGGAAAGTTATATGCTTCATCGATGCTCTACTGTACCTGAATAGATCTTCTCTTCCTTGTGACTCTTCTGTAAGGGGAAGTCCAATTGTCTACAGATGGCCTTTGGGTCTCCACACCCCCTTTTCACATTGGTATAATTTTTTTCTGGGTCCTTGATGCCTGATACCTGATCCCATCGACACCTCTGTGATCACACAGGCTGGTGTGCTTTATGAAGAGTTCTTAGTCGAGAAAGAGTTAAGACAAATTTAGACCAAGCAGAGTATGCAACTAAAAATCTCAGGACTCAGTTGTGTGGTCTTAAAGGTCCCAGGGGTGCCATCTGGAGCCTGGAAGGCATGTCCTTCAGAGGTAGTTTCCGGCACAACATTCAGATCTTCTCCCTCTATGGAGAACTACTTTCAATCAAGCTCAAGGAAGCCTTGCATACAGACTTGTTTTACGGTTTTACAGAGCTTCAGTCTGGTCCAAGCCTCCACGGTCTTCCAGCATGATCCTAAGTGTCTCCGTTTCATGAATTTTATCAGCAGCTTGAAAGATACTTGAAACGGCATTCAGAATAACCACCATCATCTTGACGTCCTTGGCGTGACACGGCTCCTGGTGCTCCTGTTATGCCAGTGGACGAGGCCCACAGTCTGCTCCGCTGCCTGCCCCTCAGATCGTTGCTCACGGCCCGGACGGCTTCTTTTTGAGACTTTTTTGGTTTTTGTTATACAACACGAAGAGGATAATCAGTGCACTGAATTATACATGTAGAAGTTGTTGAATTGGAGAATATTTTGTGTACATTTTTGGCCAGAATTTTAAAAAAATCATATCAATAACAAGTACAAGAAAGAAGAGAATGTTCTAGAATTGATTGTAGTGATGATTGTACAACCCTTTTTTTCCTCCTGATTTGGTTGGGTTTATTTGCATTGTATTGTGAGCTCTTATAGATATTATAATAATCCATATTTCAATTAGATCAAGCATAATTGCTGCCACCAGGTTCAAAACATTTTCTTTCTTCTTGAACTCTTTGAAATCAGCTCTCCTTTACCCGTCTTCCTACCCCTCCAGGAACCTTTGTTATTATATTCTTTATTTTTTCCGTGTCATACACCATCTGGCTTCAGGAGAATGTTGATGGGCAATGGGACAAATCCAGGATTCACAGCTTGCTGCATCCAGTCCTGACAGGCTGCTGTGACGTTTGGCATTGTCCAGGTAGTCTCCTGAATATTCGTTTTGGGGACAGCGAGTGCTGCTGCATCTCTTGCAGCCCGTGTCTGTTCATGTGTCGTGTGTCCCCGCGACAATGTTCCCTGTGCCTTTTAGTGCAGGAGTCACAATGGTCAATGCAGTCGCTCCAAGAAGTGTCACAAGTTGTGGCACGACTCCCTTTCCACAACCATTTCAATCCCTGAGACAGGAAATGGCCCAGCACTTGTGGGCCCGTGTGATGCAGGAAACAATTAAATGAAGGAGAATGTGCTCACCAGCATCTAAAGGGAGCGCAGGATCCTTGTTTCAATAGAGGTTTGGAAGTGTCCGGGTAAAGAGTGCAAGGAACCACATGCTAAAAAAGACGTATCGGGAACTCCTCAGAGAGCTGGCAGAGGGCTATCTGCACCATACTCCGTAACCACGTCTCAGAAGGGGGAGCCATCACCTGCAGGGTTGCCCAGAGTCCACACAGCTGGTTCCCTGATGTCAGCATGCAGCCATGCCAACAGAAGTGAATGCTGGGATTGCACCTCCTCCGACCACAGCCTGGGTCTGTCTGATGTCCCAGAAGCAATGTTAGTGAGTGCCCAAGCCGACTCAAACTGATTGTGGCTACAGTCAGTTCTCCTCAAAAAGGGCACAATTTCAGAATCAAGGCTTCCCGGAGGAGGTCTATGG